ACAGAGACGGTGCCAAAAGCAGACGCGGCGCTTTTTACCCCCGGACCGTTCCCGCGTGCCCCCCTCCACCGGGGATCCTCTTTTTTTCACGACAATTAAGCTTAACGAGCCGTTGTTTGCCTGACATATTTGAGGCGGCTTCCCACTTATTAGCGCCGGCACGGCGCTAACTCTCCGCTCGTAACGTTGCGCGTGTTTGCTCGCTACATACTGACGACGAACCGACTAAAGACAACGACGACTATACGAGGAGAACGACTAACAACAGCGAGCCTTCTAACTGCTTCCTACGCGTTAGTTTATGCTACCCGCGCGCGGCGTGGATTGCCGTGATTTGCATGTAAGTAATATTTGGATATCTTCCACAGCCCACTTGATGGGGCGCCGTGAAACTGACGTTATTGTTAATTTTCCAAGACGATAGCGCCGTTGACGATCGTTCCGACATAGACACGGTGTCTCGTTGTTACAAATATGGAGGTAGAATGCTACGAACGTCGACCAGATTTTTATTTCTTTGGATGGCCTTTATTTCACAAAGTAGCCGATATTTGCATTGTAAGTAGAACTTGAAGTGTAAACGAAAAATCTTGATTTTGCAAGTACATGATTAATAATTGACAATTTAATAGAAGTTGTACCTGTGGTCGGAGTAAATTATTTAACTGTTTTCAAACATATGAAGACGTTGCAAATTTCTGCTGTTGTTGTAATTTTCAAAAGAAATTTTGTAATAACGTGTTTATTAGTAGAAATCGTTCTCGATTCCCTGAAACTACACTTGCATTTTAATTTTTACTTTTGTTTAGTCACAGGCGTGGCAGATATCAATATTCAAAATTAGTTTTAAAAATGATACGCAATATTGGTAATATTGATGTGGAACTTTTTGGGTATTTGTCCAAAATGTATCAAATTCTATCGTTTTTAGTAACAACAAAATTTGAGATTATAGAGAAGAAAGAATACAATATCATTTTTTTTTTTTGAATTTGTTCTTTGTCAAAGGATCCACTTGTCAACGTAGCTCTACACTATAAAATAAAATATGGCAATTTCTATGACAACATTTCGCCATCTACAAGCTTTTCAAATAATTAATGGCGTCGCTAGAAAATATACAAACACAATACAGTAAACCTTTATAAAAATATCAAATCTACTACGACATATTGCGATTGACCAATGATAAGTTTCAAGTGGCCTATTGTAAACTTTAAATTGCGAATGATTCACGAAAAATTTCAAGTGGCTCACGATAAGTTTCGAGTAACGCACTATATAATATATTTTAATGGCCGACGACGAGTTTTAAGAAACCTAATAGTAAAAATATTCGAAAAGTTGTAGCTTGACCCCGCAAAATGAGAAAAACCCCATAAAAATGGTCCAATTTTCAAACTGCCATAACTCCTACAATAGTGTATATATTTCAATGAAACTTTTTCCTGAAGTAGAGCTCATGGATACCTACAAAAAAGTATTAGACAACTTTTCTGTTAGACGTTAAACAAAATTTTTAGAAATAAAAAACGAATTTTCAAGAAAAATCGACAACGGGTAGGTGCCTAAATTTTTCGATGAAAAAGAAAAATTTCCAATCGTTCTGGAAAAATTATTTTCGGTTGCAGGGGTCAATTACAATCATTTTTGGCCAATAGACATACCCCTGAACTCCTACCCATTTTTTAGAAAAAAATTCAAGAATGTGTGAAATTTTTCGACAAAATTAAAAAATTTCAAATCTTTCTGAAAAAATTATTTTCGGTTGCAGGGATCAATTACAATCATTTTTGGCCAATAGACATACCCCTGAATTCCTACCCATTTTCTAGAAAAAAATTCAAGAATGTGTGAAATTATTCGACAAAATTACAAAATTTTTAATCGTCCTGAAGAAATTATTTTTGGTTGCAGGGGTCAAATACAATAATTTTCGCTCATTACACATACCCTCGAAATCCTAATCATTTTCGAGAAAAAAATTCCTTACCGAAAATCTAATGTGAGGTCAAAAATGGTTCCCCGAAACATCATGCGTATCTTTAAAATGCCATAAGTCCTGAACGGATTGGAGGATTTCAATGTTCAAAAAGGCGATCAACGCGTATTTTGGTGAAGAATATGTATAAATCCTAACAATATTGGAAAAGTTGTTCCTTGACCGCGTAAAATGTTCAGCAAGAATTTATTTACCGCCTCCAAAAATGTATCCAGGTTCATGGTGCACATTTTGAACACCTTCTAAAATAAACATTTAATTTAAGACTGTTTCAATGAAATTGAAATTCCTTCATTTACCGTCTCCGAACGCGTACTGAAGTTACTGACAAACATTTCATAATTCCTTCGCTAAAGGTCACGTGAAGGTCAACATATCGCACATCGTTGGATTCGTCTTTTTATAAGCTATAAGACTGTTGTAGCGAAAATATGTGGTCCCATTTAAAAAAAATACGATGACCTTGAAGTCTCGAAAAAAATGACCTTGAAAAAAAAATTCGATCCATCACCGTATTGGCGCCTTCGAACAGAATACTTTCTCCCCTTGACATTTTTTTCTATCATACAAAATAAGCGATATATTTAAGGTGGTCAAGTTAGGTGAAATACCCTGTATTCTCCATTTATTTTTTTACGTGGAATATTGTAGGGTATAGTTTACGACACTTAGATTATCGCGTTCCTGTAGGGGAAATTAAATCGCTTTATCGTAAATTCGGGGCGAAAATCTCGCGTGTTATCTCGCTCGCCAACAGCGTCAGCTGATTTGTTCCATAGATAGTCGAAAGTTCATCAGATGGTTTAAAATATTGACTCCGGTGATAACGGCGAAGAATCTCGGTTACTAAATTTCCAAGATATTACAGGAAAGTAGTGGTGTTTGGTGTTCGGGGCGAACAGAGCGCGAAAGCCAGCGGAGACACGGCGGCGCGAGAAGCACGCATCGCGTTTTCCTAATTAAGCGCAAGCTAAAGGGCCGCGTATGCAAATGACGCCTGTTTGCCTAGTATAGTGTACATTTACGTGAATATTCACCGTGCGTCGCGCAAGCGTGCGTAAGGGACCAGGTAAATAGAAATAAAGGACATTGTTCCCTCGCAAACGGCGCGGCGCCTCCGACGAATGAATTGCGATTAAATTGCTGCGAAGATACGACGGAGGATGGCAGCGATCCTGCTAAAACTAATTTATACTGATATACAGGCTGTCTCAGAAATACGTACTAACATAAATGAAAAATGTTATATCAACGTATCGATAACTACAAGCACCCATTTTGTATGTCTAGGTTCTGGGTTAGGTTCTGGGTTAGGTCTGGGTTAGGTCTGGGTTAGGTCTGGGTTAGGTCTGGTTAAGTCTGGGCTGTCTCAGAAATACGTACTAACATAAATGAAAAATGTTATATCAACGTATCGATAACTACAAGCACCCATTTTGTATGTCTAGTTTCTGGGTTAGGTTCTGGGTTAGGTCGGGGTTAGGTCTGGAAAAAAACGGGTTCAAAGATTCACTGGTATTTATTAAATCGTCCCATAAGTTTATGCCGTTCCCTATTCTGAAATTGACGAGAATGAAATTTGTAATTTAATAGAAATCAACCAAAAATCAGTTTAGTGTATTTCTGGGGTATGTGTATTGACCGAAAATTATTGTAATTGACCCCTGCAACCAAAAATAATTTTTCCATAACGATTTGAAATTTTTTTTTTGTCAAAAAATTTAAGCACCTAATTAGATTTTCGTTAGAGAATTTTTTTCTCGAAAGTGCGTAGTATTTCGGGGATATGTGTAATGACCAACAATGATTCTAATTGGTCCCCGAAACCGAAAATAATTTTTCCAGAATGATTTGAAATTTCTCAATTCTGCTGAAAAATTTTACCATCTACCCTTGCCGATTGTTCTTAAAAATTAGTTTTTCATTTGTAATAAATTTGCTTGATGTCCTACGAAAATTTTGTTTAGTACTTTTTTGTAGGTATCCATCAGCTTTACTTCCATATTAAATTTCATTGAGATACGTTCACTATTATAGGTATTATGGTTGTTTGAAAATTGGACCATTTTTATGGGGGTTTTTCTCATTTTACGCGGTCAAGGAACAACTTTTCCAATATTGTTAGGATTTATACATATTCTTCACCAAAATACGCGTTGATCGCCTTTTTGAACATTGAAATCCTCCAATCCGTTCAGGAGTTATGGCATTTTAAAGATACGCATGAAATTTCAGGTGACCATTTTTGACCTCACACTAGATTTTCGGTAATGAATTTTTTTCTCGAAAATGCGTAAGATTTCGAGGGTAGCTCTATTCACCAAAAATTATCGTAATTGACCCCCGCAACCAAAAATAATTTTTTCAGAACAATTTGAAATTTTTTAATTTTGTTGGCTTTGTCTATTTACTCGAATTTTTTTCTCGAAAGTCTGTAGGAATTCGATGGTGTGTCTATTCACCAAAAATGATTGTAATTGTCCCCCGTAGCTGAAAATAATTTTTCCATAACGATTTGAATGAAATTTTTTTTTTGTCAAAAAATTTAAGCACCTAATTATATTTTCGGTAAAGAATTTTTTTCTCGAAAGTGCGTAGAATTTCAGGGGTATGTCCATTCACCAAAGATGATTGTAATTGACCCCACCAACCGAAAATAATTTTTCCGTGAATAATTTGAAATTTTTTAATAACATTTTAACGAAGCCTCAATCAACAAATTGATATTCTTGATTTTCATCTCATTTTGGCCTCTAGAATCTCCCATTAAAATTTTTTCCCAGAGCTGGTCGAACATCCTGTATAAATGAAGAAAATTATTTTGCTCTGTATATTATAGAAAATATAGAGTGAAAATTATGTTCGCGCAGGAAGCATGGAATAAAAGTGTCCAGAATTCATAAGAACGACAAAATACAGAATTATCAATAATCTTTTCAACTTTTACGAAAACTGTTCTTTTCTTGTGAATTCTCATCATAATATCTCCTTTTTTCAGAGCACCTTCGATTCGTATGGTAGCTGGCATGTGGTGGTTCTTCACGTTGATCATGGTTTCGTCGTATACTGCCAATTTGGCCGCGTTCCTTACTGTCGATAAAATGGACAATCCGATCAAGGGCGCAGAGGACTTGGCCAAGCAAACGAAAATTAAATACGGGGCTGTTGCTGGCGGATCCACTTCTGCATTCTTCCGAGTATGTTTTAATTATTTCTCTCTCTAGTTTTGTTTAATAACCGGTCCAAACAATCAACGCTTTTCTATGTCACTTTTTAAATATTCAAAAATAATTACCAATTGCATTCTAATGTTTACTATTTTAGTTACCCAGCATCGTTTCACTTGTTTCTCTGATGTTTTTGTATTGTCCTAATTAATTTGGGCACAGCCAATTCAATGCAATCTCTGATGAAATTTTGTGCTCCTATACTTTGCTAATTATACACGAACTAGATTTTTATTTGAATTCTTATACTGTCTGACGAAAATAATTTCACTACGATGATTTTCAGGTCTACGATCTTAAAAATTAATTTAAAATTATAAGTAACAAAGTTTCAGCATGAGAAGAAGGATGTAATTATGCTCCTATGGTCTGAAATTAATTTCGAAGTGAACGACATAAATACCTAACATTAACGATTACTACCAAAACAATACTGCATATTCTCTTGTAGTTGTAATAATATGAACCACTGTTGCTTGGTTTCCTTGCTCATGTTTTTTGTCTATTGCTCCTGTTTGGAGTATGTAATTTCTGAGTTTGTATGAGTGAATGGAGAATTAGGAAAAAAAATATTCAAAGTACATTTCCACAACCAATGAAGAATATGCTTAATAACACAGAAGGATTAATTAAGACCCTTCTTCAGCAGTATGAATTATATCTAATTCAATTCAGTCATAAATCGTAATTACTTTTCCATTTATCTTAGTAAAGGAAATTATAATTATACGTATGTGACCCAAAGCCTTTATTAATCCCTTATAATATCAAGTTTGACTCGTGGTTCATAATACTAGCAAAACATGATGAATAGGAGTCATATTCGTAATAAAACTAATTGCATTCTATATGCATTCCTTAATATTTCATATCTTTTTAATTTTCTTATCATGGTGGAACTTTAAACGTTAACAACTTTTCAATAAAGCCTCGACCAAAAAAGTGGTATTCCTGATTTTTGTCTTATTTTGGCCTCTAGAATCTCCCATTAAAAGTTTGGTATCTGTTCTCGTAGCTCTTTTCTTGCCACTTTGCAAAGAGATATTACTATAGAAAATAATTTTTGACGCATATAATCTAAATATAAAAGCTTACATTATTTATTATCAAATATTTTATTACACTGCAATTATATTCCATATCCTCTAAGTTTGAAAAGAATAAATAGTAAAGCTTTCATCCAGAAAATTTACTTGGCAGCCAAGGGGTTAAGCATACTTTACGTAGAACTGCGCTTCTGTTTCAACTTTCAAGTCACTATAATACAGAATTTTCTCTATATAAGATCAGAATTCGATATAGGCAAATATCGTATCCCCTCTACTTATCTCCACTGCGTACCGTTAGAATACTAAGGCAACACTAGTGCAATAATACAAACTTTTTATTTTTCCTTTTCTTGTTTTGAAACTTTTAACATGCCTGTGACAGTTTCCTGATTTAACTAAGATCAAGTACAACATAATTTTTATTACTGTTTTTCATAAATTATAATATACATTTGTCCTTTCTTTAAAGTGTATCCTCATCTGAAAAAAGGAATTGTAATTTAATTGACCTATCATTTATTTGCTGAAATTGTGGAACAACTCGGAGTAAAATAAATTGGTTAAACAGTTCAAATTCGCAAGTTGTATCTTTTTGAGTCATATCACTATTGCAGTAAACGAGCGATACATACATATATGAAGTTATGAGACAATTTAACTAGTACATATACAATATTAAATCAACAACGAAATTCATCTTTATTTTTGTTCATCCTTTTTTCAAACTTCTTCAACATATTCGTGACACTTTTCTGATTAAAATGACACAAAAGACGATATACAATTCAGATCCTATTTACTATCGCAATAGCGATCAAAGGCATGCATCGGTCAGGTGACTCCACGCCGCCTGTATCGAAACACAGACGATGTTTACGGGAGCCTATACAGAATCAATATTTCATTCTACCAAGAGAGGTAGAGGTCGGAATTAGAACACCGATTTCGTATAGGCTCGCGTAATCATCGCCTGTGTTTCGTTATAGTCGACCTGAAGCGAAGGAAGCGATAGCAAATTCGACGATGCTCGGGCGTTCAGTCCCTCTTTGTCATATGCTCGCTGTTCTTTTCGATACTCGTCGCCTCCAGTAGGCGTTAACAAAGTATCAAGAATCGTTTCTCGTCCACGCTATAGGCGAACGTTGAGCCCCGATAAAGTCGCTTCTATAGAGACAATACTGTATCAAGATTCGTTTCTCGTCCACGCTATAGGCGAACGTTGAGCCCCGACAGTGTCGCTTCTATAGAGACAATACTGTATCAAGAATCGTTTCTCGTCCACACTATAGGCGAACGTTGAGCCCCGATAAAGTCGCTTCTATAGAGACAATACTGTATCAAGAATCGTTTCTCGTCCACGCTATAGGCGAACGTTGAGCCCCGATAAAGTCGCTTCTATAGAGACAATACTGTATCAAGATTCGTTTCTCGTCCACGCTATAGGCGAGCGTTGAGCCCCGGGTGCGTCGCTTCTATAGAGACAATACTGTGTCAAGAATCGTTTCTCGTCCACGCTATAGGCGAACGTTGAGCCCCGATAAAGTCGCTTCTATAGAGACAATACTGTACCAAGAATCGTTTCTCGTCCACGCTATAGGCGAACGTTGAGCCCCGAGAGTGTCGCTTCTATAGAGACAATACGGTATCAAGAATCGTTTCTCGTCCACGCTATAGGCGAGCGTTGAGTCCCGACAGCGTCGCTTCTACAGAGACAAAACTGTATCAAGAATCGTTTCTCGTCCACGCTATAGGCGAGCGTTGAGTCCCGACAGCGTCGCTTCTATAGAGACAAAACTGTATCAAGAATCGTTTCTCGTCCACGCTATAGGCGAACGTTGAGCCCCGATAAAGTCGCTTCTATAGAGACAATACTGTATCAAGATTCGTTTCTCGTCCACGCTATAGGCGAACGTTGAGCCCCGAGAGCGTCGCTTCTATAGAGACAATACTGTATCAAGAATCGTTTCTCGTCCACACTATAGGCGAACGTTGAGCCCCGATAAAGTCGCTTCTATAGAGACAATACTGTATCAAGAATCGTTTCTCGTCCACGCTATAGGCGAACGTTGAGCCCCGATAAAGTCGCTTCTATAGAGACAATACTGTATCAAGATTCGTTTCTCGTCCACGCTATAGGCGAGCGTTGAGCCCCGGGTGCGTCGCTTCTATAGAGACAATACTGTGTCAAGAATCGTTTCTCGTCCACGCTATAGGCGAACGTTGAGCCCCGATAAAGTCGCTTCTATAGAGACAATACTGTACCAAGAATCGTTTCTCGTCCACGCTATAGGCGAACGTTGAGCCCCGAGAGTGTCGCTTCTATAGAGACAATACGGTATCAAGAATCGTTTCTCGTCCACGCTATAGGCGAGCGTTGAGTCCCGACAGCGTCGCTTCTACAGAGACAAAACTGTATCAAGAATCGTTTCTCGTCCACGCTATAGGCGAACGTTGAGCCCCGAGAGTGTCGCTTCTATAGAGACAATACGGTATCAAGAATCGTTTCTCGTCCACGCTATAGGCGAACGTTGAGCCCCGATAAAGTCGCTTCTATAGAGACAATACTGTATCAAGATTCGTTTCTCGTCCACGCTATAGGCGAACGTTGAGCCCCGAGAGCGTCGCTTCTATAGAGACAATACTGTATCAAGAATCGTTTCTCGTCCACACTATAGGCGAACGTTGAGCCCCGATAAAGTCGCTTCTATAGAGACAATACTGTATCAAGAATCGTTTCTCGTCCACGCTATAGGCGAACGTTGAGCCCCGATAAAGTCGCTTCTATAGAGACAATACTGTATCAAGATTCGTTTCTCGTCCACGCTATAGGCGAGCGTTGAGCCCCGGGTGCGTCGCTTCTATAGAGACAATACTGTGTCAAGAATCGTTTCTCGTCCACGCTATAGGCGAACGTTGAGCCCCGATAAAGTCGCTTCTATAGAGACAATACTGTACCAAGAATCGTTTCTCGTCCACGCTATAGGCGAACGTTGAGCCCCGAGAGTGTCGCTTCTATAGAGACAATACGGTATCAAGAATCGTTTCTCGTCCACGCTATAGGCGAGCGTTGAGTCCCGACAGCGTCGCTTCTACAGAGACAAAACTGTATCAAGAATCGTTTCTCGTCCACGCTATAGGCGAACGTTGAGCCCCGAGAGTGTCGCTTCTATAGAGACAATACGGTATCAAGAATCGTTTCTCGTCCACGCTATAGGCGAACGTTGAGCCCCGATAAAGTCGCTTCTATAGAGACAATACTGTATCAAGATTCGTTTCTCGTCCACGCTATAGGCGAACGTTGAGCCCCGAGAGCGTCGCTTCTATAGAGACAATACTGTATCAAGAATCGTTTCTCGTCCACACTATAGGCGAACGTTGAGCCCCGATAAAGTCGCTTCTATAGAGACAATACTGTATCAAGAATCGTTTCTCGTCCACGCTATAGGCGAACGTTGAGCCCCGATAAAGTCGCTTCTATAGAGACAATACTGTATCAAGATTCGTTTCTCGTCCACGCTATAGGCGAGCGTTGAGCCCCGGGTGCGTCGCTTCTATAGAGACAATACTGTATCAAGAATCGTTTCTCGTCCACGCTATAGGCGAGCGTTGAGTCCCGACAGCGTCGCTTCTATAGAGACAAAACTGTATCAAGAATCGTTTCTCGTCCACGCTATAGGCGAACGTTGAGCCCCGATAAAGTCGCTTCTATAGAGACAATACTGTATCAAGATTCGTTTCTCGTCCACGCTATAGGCGAACGTTGAGCCCCGACAGTGTCGCTTCTATAGAGACAATACTGTATCAAGAATCGTTTCTCGTCCACGCTATAGGCGAGCGTTGAGTCCCGACAGCGTCGCTTCTATAGAGACAAAACTGTATCAAGAATCGTTTCTCGTCCACGCTATAGGCGAACGTTGAGCCCCGATAAAGTCGCTTCTATAGAGACAATACTGTATCAAGATTCGTTTCTCGTCCACGCTATAGGCGAACGTTGAGCCCCGAGAGCGTCGCTTCTATAGAGACAATACTGTATCAAGAATCGTTTCTCGTCCACACTATAGGCGAACGTTGAGCCCCGATAAAGTCGCTTCTATAGAGACAATACTGTATCAAGAATCGTTTCTCGTCCACGCTATAGGCGAACGTTGAGCCCCGATAAAGTCGCTTCTATAGAGACAATACTGTATCAAGATTCGTTTCTCGTCCACGCTATAGGCGAGCGTTGAGCCCCGGGTGCGTCGCTTCTATAGAGACAATACTGTGTCAAGAATCGTTTCTCGTCCACGCTATAGGCGAACGTTGAGCCCCGATAAAGTCGCTTCTATAGAGACAATACTGTACCAAGAATCGTTTCTCGTCCACGCTATAGGCGAACGTTGAGCCCCGAGAGTGTCGCTTCTATAGAGACAATACGGTATCAAGAATCGTTTCTCGTCCACGCTATAGGCGAGCGTTGAGTCCCGACAGCGTCGCTTCTACAGAGACAAAACTGTATCAAGAATCGTTTCTCGTCCACGCTATAGGCGAACGTTGAGCCCCGAGAGTGTCGCTTCTATAGAGACAATACGGTATCAAGAATCGTTTCTCGTCCACGCTATAGGCGAACGTTGAGCCCCGATAAAGTCGCTTCTATAGAGACAATACTGTATCAAGATTCGTTTCTCGTCCACGCTATAGGCGAACGTTGAGCCCCGAGAGCGTCGCTTCTATAGAGACAATACTGTATCAAGAATCGTTTCTCGTCCACACTATAGGCGAACGTTGAGCCCCGATAAAGTCGCTTCTATAGAGACAATACTGTATCAAGAATCGTTTCTCGTCCACGCTATAGGCGAACGTTGAGCCCCGATAAAGTCGCTTCTATAGAGACAATACTGTATCAAGATTCGTTTCTCGTCCACGCTATAGGCGAGCGTTGAGCCCCGGGTGCGTCGCTTCTATAGAGACAATACTGTGTCAAGAATCGTTTCTCGTCCACGCTATAGGCGAACGTTGAGCCCCGATAAAGTCGCTTCTATAGAGACAATACTGTACCAAGAATCGTTTCTCGTCCACGCTATAGGCGAACGTTGAGCCCCGAGAGTGTCGCTTCTATAGAGACAATACGGTATCAAGAATCGTTTCTCGTCCACGCTATAGGCGAGCGTTGAGTCCCGACAGCGTCGCTTCTACAGAGACAAAACTGTATCAAGAATCGTTTCTCGTCCACGCTATAGGCGAACGTTGAGCCCCGAGAGTGTCGCTTCTATAGAGACAATACGGTATCAAGAATCGTTTCTCGTCCACGCTATAGGCGAACGTTGAGCCCCGATAAAGTCGCTTCTATAGAGACAATACTGTATCAAGATTCGTTTCTCGTCCACGCTATAGGCGAACGTTGAGCCCCGAGAGTGTCGCTTCTATAGAGACAATACGGTATCAAGAATCGTTTCTCGTCCACGCTATAGGCGAGCGTTGAGTCCCGACAGCGTCGCTTCTATAGAGACAAAACTGTATCAAGAATCGTTTCTCGTCCACGCTATAGGCGAACGTTGAGCCCCGAGAGCGTCGCTTCTATAGAGACAAAACTGTATCAAGAATCGTTTCTCGTCCACGCTATAGGCGAACGTTGAGCCCCGATAAAGTCGCTTCTATAGAGACAATACTGTATCAAGATTCGTTTCTCGTCCACGCTATAGGCGAACGTTGAGCCTCGAGAGCGTCGCTTCTATAGAGACAATACTGTATCAAGAATCGTTTCTCGTCCACGCTATAGGCGAACGTTGAGCCCCGATAAAGTCGCTTCTATAGAGACAATATTGTATATATTTATGATATATTCCATAATTTCAAGAAACATATGTCACTCTGCTTGTGTGATTGCATTAATTTGGTCACGTCCACAGTTAATATTCCGTGTGCATCTTCGTACTCGTCAAAACGAACATTTTGATTCGTAAAACACTGATCACTTCCTTGATACATGTTATTTTCCGTTCCACTAGGATTCTAATTACTCAACCTATCAACGTATGTGGGCTGGAATGATGGATGCACGACCGAGTGTGTTCACTAAGTCCAATGACGAGGGTGTCGAACGAGTTTTGAAGAAATACGATTACGCCTTTCTCATGGAATCCACCACAATCGAGTACAGGATGGAAAGAAACTGCGACCTTGATAAGGTTGGAGGGCTTATTGATAACAAAGGATACGGGATTGCTTTGCCTCGAAGTAAGTTACGATGGAACTATCAAATTAGATTTAACTTTAATGGAATCCGATATAATTTGTTTTCAAGGCCTACTGAGAGACCTATTCCGTCGTACGAAATGAAAAGGATTGTATTCCATTAAGTCATTTCTCAAATATCAAGGTGAAAAACTAATTTAGTGCTTGATAACTGCAACATAATTTAAAATACGAGCTAGAGTAGTAGCCAACGTTGTGGAAGTCATTGTATTCCTTAACAATTTTCATTGTTTTAATGAAAATATCGCATATACGCATGTTTATGTCTTGTATCGTCATCGATGTTAAATTATATATCATTTAAGAAATAAACCATTGCTTGTAAATGCTCACAAAAATAGCAACAAATGAAATTTGACATATTTTACTAAATTGCTAGGATACATAAACATTACGTAACATTGTTTCACTCCAAACTATACTCAGACTAGGCTACATTTTTTCAGCCTCATTTTTGGGGGTGGAAAACAGATTTCCTTAAGTATCTCAGAAAAAGAATGTTAAATGTAAGAAATGTATAGCTTTCCATGAGCAATAAGTGGTGTAAATGGAAACATCGCTAAGCTCCACTATTATCGATTAAATAGTTTTTTTACAAATTTTTCTTAGTTGACAATTAATCAAATTAATCAACAGACCATGCATATTTTACATATTTCCCCAATTTTTGATTTTGTGTTAATAACAAGAAAAAATATAAAGCTTTCTCAAATACCAAGTTACTGACTGACACATTAATTCATAAAATATAAAGTTTCGTCCAAATCGGAGTATAATACTTGGGTGATGCCCCTCGTAAAAAGACAAAATGAATGGAAATTACCAAGCAATTATTCAGCCTAAGAAAACGAGGCAAAATTGGTTTCCCCTTAGTGAATTAGATCGACGAAAAATGCGATCTTCTTGATCGATGGGTTCTCCATTGATCCCAGCATCCTGTGAATCACGCAAGGGTCGCGACTTGCAACCTCTGATAAAGAGAGAGATCAGTAACATTGACAGATGCGGGTTGTCACACGCTCCTCTGCGGCCAAAAGCATCTTTTCCTCGAATCAGGCCATCAGACTATGACAACCAATCGTTTAGACCAGCTATTGCTTCTCTGAAACAAGCAACGATGATCAAAGTGGAGGACGAAAGAGCAAACAAGAAGCTACTTTTTGATAATTACTTTACACAGTATAAAGATTCATATAGTGCAATCTTGACACTAGTTTAGATCTAGAACTTTGTTAGTAGCAAGAACATTTATTATACTAGAGACTATAGTATCACAGAGCATGAAGGACGAGATGCCAAGTTATAATCAGTTTCATTCTGAATATTCTTCGTTCGACTAAATATCTATTGGAAAGATTTAACCCTTTGCACCCCGAATTATATTTCAATTTTGTTACCAGCAGCTCCCAACGCTTTTAAGTGTTTTTACGTTAAGTAAAAAATAGGGCAGTTTAAACAAATTCAATTAAATATCTGTTTTATTTACATTATTGTTGTATTTTGCAACTTTCAAATGTAGGATATCTCTTTGGTTTGAATTTGGAAAAATGTGAGACTCGATAAAGGAGATCCTGAGATAAAAACTGATATCGAGTCACATTCGACATAGGAGCGCAAAGGGTTAAGACATCAGTAGACAAAATATTATATTTCAATTATTTTAAGGAAACATAGTACCTGAACCTGAAAATAGTAAAAAGTTTGTTTTAATTCATCTTCATTCGATACTTGATTCGAATGGGAAAGTAGAAGAAGTACACAATTTAACATAATATCGTATTATACATCCTCTTCAGTCGAAGTAGATACCACATTTTTTAGTTGTAATTGTGTAAAAGATTGCATTCCCAAAACTTAGAACGAAATAGTGTCTTTCTAGCAAATTGCAATTTAGAAGAGCGTATATTTTTATAGATTCGCCATACAGAACACCCATAAGCGGCGCGATATTGATGCTGCAAGAGAAAGGGGTGCTGCAAGACCTGAAAAATAAATGGTGGCAGGGCCACGGGGGTGGATTGTGCGCAAAGGGCATTGCAGAACCAGTGAACTCGAGCGAGTTAGGGTTGGCTAACGTTGGTGGTGTGTTCCTGGTTCTTCTGTTTGGATGCTGTGGATCGTTCGTCATCGCCATCTGCGAATTCCTCTGGAATATACGCAGTGTCGCTGTGAACGAAAAGGTCAGCTTTTGCGTTTCTTCTTTCCTACGAATTATAAACTTCCAATGTTATGTTTGGAGGTTATTTGGATACACTTTTTTTGTTATTTTCACAAAAACTGGAACTAGGTTTATTTGAATAATATATGACTTTTGAGGTTAGAAAGTGAGACCTAAATGAAGTACAAAAATCTTTTTTATACGATTTTAAGTAATACTGGAAAAACAATACAATCAACGTTACTTTCTTTATGTCGTGGCAAAGGAGCTCTCATCCGCTGGAACAATAAATTAAATACAATGAAAATAAAATTATAAATTGTTGTAAAAATTCAAGTTGATTGATTCGTTTAATTCATATAAATGGAGCTTCAATATTTTTTTTACTATTAATTTCTAATTCATTTAATGCATAAAATAATAAAAATTAAATGAATAACATATCTTACATAAAAAGAAAAATTGTATTCAGCAAAAATTTTTCTCTATTTGAATATAATTCTCTGGAATTTAAACATTTTTAAGAACGAAAAAGAAAAATGTTTGTAAAAAATCTACATGTTATTAAATACTTCCATATACCAGTCTATTATTTATACAATATGTTATCACGTTAGTAAAATTTTTGCTTTCATAAAAAAATTATATTTCCTGTTTAACGAAATATAACGTCAATTTAGAAAGGACGATGATCTGATACTTAGCGGGTTAAATCTTGTACATATTTTACATTATAATTTCAAAGCGTACATATCGTCCCATAATATTTCGAGTCCTTTGATTTTAATTCCCGTGCACCATCGTAACTTTTTAGTTCGAAAAGGTCGTGAAATTTCAACGAGAAAATGAAAATTAAGTCGCGCAGGAATGCTTTCTCCCCCGAAAACGATAATGGTCGACACAACGAGAATATTTCATTGGGCGATTAAAACGCGTGGCGAAATAAACGACGTTGACTTAATTAAACGTGTCCTCCGGCAAGAAACCATTTTTCGTCGACTTTTTTGCAGGTCACTCCATGGGAGGCGCTGGTAGCAGAATTAAAATTCGCCGTGAACATTTGGGCGGAGACGAAACCCGTTAAAATCTCGAAAAGTAGTGGCACGAGTTCGATGGAGGGTGGCATCGGCAGAGCGGCGTCCACTGCACGCTCTATAGTCGGCTCTTTCCTTCGTCTGGACATGTTGGACAAATTCGACAAAGATAACAGCACGAATAATCGCAACAACGATCGTAAGATTAACTAAGGTTAAGCTGCCCATCGATCGACGCTTCGCTGCTGTAGAACAGCGTTTCCCAACCTTTTTCACCATAACGCCCCATCACGAAATCTTTTTTGACCCGACATTCCTTCCCCCTTGGTTTACAAATACAACGATTCTATAATGCACCTAATTTTGGTATTTAAATTGCTGGCCACGCTCATTATTGTTAATTTGGAGTGAGGGCAAAGCAATGACCACAATCGAAGTGGTTATAAAACTACACTGTGGAGCATAACTATAGCACCACTATAATTTTCAAGAGTTTTGTAGTTGTAACTAATGATTTCTAAATGTTAATAATACCACGTGAAAAGGACTAGAAAAAAATTATAATCAATGGAAAAAATACAAAAATAACATTTATTTAACATGAAGTATAATAATAAATGAAATATTGCAATGGTGCATAACTATAGCACCAATGTATTTGGAACGTAATAATAAGGTTAAATGGCTATAAAGTGTTAAATTTCTAATTCAGTTTATTAAAGTGAGCAGTTTCAATAATGAGTAGGACCTCCTTTTTTATGTATTAATTCAAAAATACGATTGTTCATACTTGTAATGAGTTTTTTCAAAGTTTCTTCCCTAATTTGATTCCACGCTTCAATAACTGCTGTTTTTAGCTCCGAAATGTTCGAAAATTGTCGATTATTTCCATAAATATGCCGTACCATGATACCCCATAGGTTTTCAATTGGATTTTGGTCTGGGGAGCATGCAGGCCATTTCAATACATTGACATCAAACGTTTCAAACTGTGGTTTGTCGGATATTATGGATTGGATCATTATCTTGTTGATAAGTCCATGAAATGTGATTGTTTGCATAAATAAAAGGAAATAAATGATTTTCGAGTATTCCAATATACTCCGCACTATTCATTCGTGTAGTTGGAAAAGCTAATCTGAGCTTGCCACAGGAGCAGAATGCACCCCACACGATAAGTGTCCCTCGACCGAAATTATGTTTCGAAAAGTATTTTTGTTCTTTACGAAGGTCCCTCCAATATGAATTAAATCCATCTGGACCGTCCAAATTGAATTTTTTTTCGTCAGAGAAAATAACCTAAGTTAGATAAGGAATATCGAATATGAAGCTAAAATCTCGATTTACGAATGCCTAAACTTAACTTACATTATTCCAATTTCTGTTCATGTTTTCTCGCGCGTATTCAAGCCTGGCTATTTTCTGACGTTTCAGAAGTATAGGTGCAGACATCATTTTTTGTCTTATAATGTTTGAATTATGTTTAAGGGCACGTTGGGCAGTCCAACGAGAAACGCCGAGATCACATTCCTTCGCAATTTATTTGCAGCTTTTTAACGAATTGCTCGCAACTTTAGCAATTTGCCTTTCAGTACGAGGGGATAACTTCTTCTTAGGTCCCCCTTTCTTATTTTCCCCATACTTAGTAGGATCGCGTAAAAAATTCAGTACAACTTTATGAGATCGGCCGAGTTCACGTGCGATTTCACACGTATCCCCATTTGTTGCTCTCTGTACGCTGAAATTGCACCTTGCTCTTGTTCATTAAAGGTAGCTGCCACGTGGCATTGTATCAATTAACTAAGAATTCCTGAGTTTACTAAAACAATTCCAACAGAAACCCTTGAAGTGCGTTAAAAATGAACTGGTTCTATCGTTTTGCACCGATCGTCAAACGTTTATCGATTAAATCTTGACATATAAGTAGACAACTTCAATGAATTTCACCTAAAATCCATTATTTACAATGCTTTTTCATACCATATAATTTGTTGTTTCAAATTATTTTCGTATAGGTCGGAAATGTTAAAAATGTTAGTGGTGCTATAGTTATGCTCCGCAATGTATGTATACATTTACTATTAAATATATTGTGGACTACATTTATAATATCGCGTGTGAACTTAACATGCGGTTACGCGGACGGGCCGAGAGAGCAGTCAGCAGCGCGCGCAGGCCACAAGGGCCCCAACGGATTGAACGTGCCAGAAAGTTCTACAAGCGCGTGCGCACTTTGAATAGACCTTCCAACAATTATAACTAATAATATTTATTGCTTAAAAGAATTGCATCTCCGTAGTGTGGAAGAAAAAATGATTCTTAGTTATTATGGTGCAATGGTAATTCATAAAAGAAGCTTTTATAACATTCAAAGAAATACCAAGATAATCGAAACAGAAGGGAACTTTGCATTGCTAGTGCTTTTATCAGTCTTTCACCTTAAATCTTTTATTTGATACGAGTAACGGAAATTATAAATAAAGCCATAAAACACTGAAACAATCGAGACAGTTTTGTAATGAAAATTTCATGACATGTATTATTTCATTAGACGTCATAGGGGTCAGGAAAAAAAAAATTTGTTAGAAATTTAATTCTTGAAAAATATATTCTTACAGATTGAATTGCAGCAAATGACATCGATGTTGAATATTTTGAAAAATGTGTTTCTAAAACAGATTAAGATTTTTGGAGGTGTAATAAAGTTTTCGACATTAAATTTTGGAAGCACATTTTCAGATATAATTTTTCTCTTAATTTTTAATTTAATTTGCTTGACTAAATCTCCTGTTTTTATTTGGAACGACATTTTTTTAAAATTCATAAAATTAACTTGAGCATTTCAGTAATTGCATTCGACTTCCAATATTAACATCACTAAAAGTCAACGCCCCTCTGAAAGACACCACCGTCCATGTTGGGAAACGCTAGTATAGTGGTCGAATTACCCATACACGAGTGATATACTTACATTTAGATACTAATCTATAGGCACTCGAGGTCTCTTATGTCACCTCCTAGGAAAAAAGAAAATTTCTGTGCTATAGATGAGTGGTAAATTTAAAACGGTATAAAAACATAATTTACTACATAAAAAACATTCTTCCATACCCATACTTCGCAAAACATTGCTGTACATGTCCTTGGCTTGTGTGATTAATTCACTCGGGGATTGAATAAATACGATGTATTGGAGCAACGAAGAAAAGTTAAACCCGAGTTAATAATATTGTGAAACCATTAATATGAAGAATGTTTGTTGAACACGTCTTGCTGGGGGTTTATTTTTCTTTTTTCATAATATACGTTACCAAAGATAAAGTTAAACACAAAAACAAAGTACAGAAAAGAAAATATAATTTCATGTATGAACACATATACACGTACAAAGTATGTACTATTGTTAGACAAATGATGCAAGAGATAAGAGGAATCATCCACATGATCCATCTAATCCCTTCCACTTTTTAGGTTCTTACATAATATTATAATTATCTTAATACATATTATGTAAATATACATAAAGACAACAGTGTAATACCGTCGAAGTAATTGGTTACAAAGCAAAAATAGAGATTTGGCGATTAGGATAATTTCTCTAACAGTTTTGTTCGAAACATTTATTTGACAGATTAGTGAAGATGCATGAAAACATGGTGGCCAGACTTAAAGGATACGTTGTATACTATATCATGTAAGGAAGCATATTATTTATTATTATACCACCGAAAAAGAAACATAAAATCGATCGAAATCTAGACGTTTCCGTGTGCGTAATATAGTTACCATTTTTGCCATTTAGTCAGTGACAAACGAGCAGAATTAGGCGTTACAAAATGCAGTCGACTCTGGGAGGGTAAGTCGAGGAGACAGAAAAGAAAAATGTTCGAGCGCCTTGTGCCACCGCGCATAAAGTCGTCATTCTCGAAAACGGTCGCACAATGGCGACGTCATGGAAGGCAGAAATCTTCGCTGTAGGTCCGGAATGGAATCCAACAATATTTGGACTCGGCCACAATGACGCTAACGAACCGTGCCCTTGGTTTAGAAGATTTTCGTCCCGAGAAATCGCCCGGAGGTTCCGCGGTACCAGAACCCCCCCGGGAGTAGGCCGGCATCTTTGTGTCATTATTACCAAGGGACGTTTCTCCGCGTGAGCACATCGATCGACGGCGGAAAGGACACTTTTAACTTTACCGACGAGACGCGGCTTGTGTCAGAGGGAAGCCGACTAGCAACCGGTCACTTAACCGACGCCAAACACGTCTGGTGATTTTTCGTATTAATCTTCCTCTTCTATCACCCGCGGCGAGTGGACACTCCGAGGGGGACGAGCGGAAAACTATTACCACCGTATAAGTCCCGTGAGGGCCGTTTTACGCCACGTCGATCACTCCTATACTCCGAGACCAAAAATTTCTATAGATTAATATTGACTTAGAGTATAAGCAACACTGAATATTATAACTAGACTGCGGATGTTTATGCATTTATGGGAAATTTTAATCCTCAAAAAACTACAGAATGCATTTAATATGCAAAAATATAAGAAATACTTAAAGTAAGATACGAATTGTTATATTTAGGGGCTGAGACAGCCCTCTGCGAAGCTTTCGTTTCATTAATTCTATTGATAAAAATGTGAATTTGCATAAAGATCCGCAGTCTAATTGTAAGATTGAAATGAAAAATTATGGGAGATTGAACCATTATTTTTCTAGATTTTCATAATTGATTACTCCTTTAATTAGGGAAGTAATCAACAGACGATGGAACTACATTTGTCATTGATAAGCAATATTAAGATTTAGATTATCATTTTATTTAGCAATGTTTAAGAGCAGAAGAACTAAGCTTGGTAGTATTTATACACAGTGATCCCTTGTTTATTTTCGCTGGCTCGAGGGAGGTATTCGATTTTACATTCAAATTTATATTTTTATAAAGCTTCATCGTTTCTTCTTCGTTATTATACTCAAATGAAAACAGAACCTTTTTAAACAGCTCTTTTCTGTTAGCTTCATACTGAATTGTTATTTTTAGGATACATTCAGTCAAACGTAGATTATACAGGATGTTCGGTCACCCCTGGGAAAAATTTTAATGGGAGATTCTAATAATGGGAGACTTCGTTAAAAAATTATTAAAAATTAAATTAAAAAATTTCCAATCGTCGAAAAAATTATTTTCGATTGGAGGGGTCAATTACAATCATTTTTGGTGAATAGACACACACCCGAAACCCTACGCATTTTTGAGGAAAAAATTCCTAAAAGAAAATGTCATTTATAACCAGAAATGTTCGAAAATTTCTTGAAAATATTTAAAATGCCATAAACAACGCGTATTTAAGTGAAGAATACGTAGAAATTGCAAAAATATTCGAAAAGTTGTAGCTTGACACCGCAAAATGAGAAAAACCCCATAAAAATGGTCCAATTTTCAAACAGCCATAACTCCTACAATCGTGAATATATTTCAATGAAACTTTTTTCTGAAATAGAGCACGTAGGTAGCTACAAAAAAGTACTAGACAACTTTT